AAAATTTTAATTGGGGAGTCCTAAAATAAATTGATTAGTAATTTATTGTAATAAAAAATACAAAAATATTTCTGTAAATAATTGCCCAATTATAAAAATTTTAAAATTTGTTTAAAAAAATTCTGAAACGTATCAGTACAGTTGTATAAATTATAACAATTTATATAAAAGTACAAGTAAAATGCAAAAGTTGTATTTTATTAAATAATTGCTTAACCACACTAAAATTTGTTTATACAGTACAATTAGTACATTACATGTTTTTATTTAAAATTATAGAGCACATAAACTATTTTTATTAAATAATTGGTTTATTGTCAATTTTAAAAAATACAATTTTAAAAGTTTGAGCATGCTAACAAATTGACATACAGGTTTTAATTTATCTTCAAATTAAATCCTACTACTACCTTCTCTCAGATGGCTCAACCTTTTGAGCAGGTGTGACCATTTTACTTCCTTTCGTCGGCCCAAGAGAAAACAACAAAAATGATGACTCTGTCATCTTCTGACCTAAACGAATCCGAGTGCACTCGTCACTGTGAATAGACCAAAGAAATGTTTCCACAAGGCCTGTTTCATTTTGGATGTTTGTCGGGCTTCCACAGCACGTTAAGAAGTACAAATGTATATTTTCACCTTGCTGTACATTGTGTTTTTATTAAAGGTCACACTGAATCGTTCAATTGCGGTTTTGTTTCTAAATTGGGATGTGTTTGGCCATCATTGACCGCTAGGCTGTGCTAATGATGTGTTTGGAGGCTTGCAGGGCACTTTGACCACCAGCAGCATGGGGTCTTTGGCCTTGTCGCTGAAGGCTTTTCGGATGAGGTCGACGGCGTGCTGGTGCGTGACGCCTTGCAGCGACGCGCCATCCACGCTCACTACCTCGAATCCGGCCTGGAGGAAGAGACGAGCGAGGCGAGAGTGTTTGAAGGTCGGACGCTTGGACCACTCGTCGTGTGTCTCCCGTTACCTTGAGCACATCGCAGGTGGAGGCGGCTCCTCCCGGGAAAATCTTCTCCACCTTCACAACCGGCTGGACCTTGGATTCTATTCCGCCGGATATGCTGATGCCTGTGACACCAAAGAGGTCCAGTGTGAGTTCCTATCGTTCTCTAGTGTAGCGTCGATGGATAACAGGGTGCAAAAATGAGCAACAAACTGAAAACATTGGGATTTGGTCAATCTCCTTCCTATCGTTCTCTAGTGTAGCGTCGATGGATAACGGTGCAAAAATGAGCAACAAACTGAAAACATTTGGATTTGGTCAATCTCAAGACTTAAACCCGATTGAGTGGGGGTGGGTAAACTTGTTCTCGAGGGCCACGTGTGATTTCAAAAATAAAGAGATGATATAAATAGTGACAAATTAATTTGTATTGTATAAATTGTATTTGTATGATCTAAAAATCTATTTGAAGTTAAGCAAATAGTTAAAACAAAAAAAATAACTGAAGACAAGCACTCACCTAGCGACTGCTTGGTCTTGGAGATGCTGACCGTTTGGAGTTCGTGCTCTTGCGGAGAATGTCGTCCGTTCAGACGTGCTGAACCCGAGACGTCCTCAAAGCGCACAGGGTTGACGCTTCCTACGTCAGGGTAGTCGGCGAGTAGCCAGTTCGGATCCGGGGTACCTGCGGGGATGTGTTGATGCTCCTCCGTGAACCGGTATCCGTCGACAGGGATGTCGAGCAACGGCATGAAGGTGGCGGTGGGGCGGCGCCGCCTCTGCCTGCATGCTCGAGGCCCCGACAGGCTGAGCTTTTCCAACTTGTCCACCAGGTGGCTCTGCTTCTCCACCATGGCTGCACTGTGCAGCTCAAAGCCTCCTCGCAAATCTGAAACGAGAGCATAGCTATCGATTTTCATATACTCTGTCAAGGCTGACTTTTTTTTTTTTTATCTGTTGCTGTTCTGTGCCAATTCTACCAAACATCAAACGGGGGTATGACATTTTTAAAGTTTTGATAGTTTCTTGTACAGGAACCCACTCGAGGTACCAACCTGGGATGGGCGTGATGAGGCGGCGTTTGGGTGCTCGACCAGACGTGGGAGAGCGAAGAGGCGGCGTTCGGACTTATGGGAGGGCATAAAAAAACAGGAGGTAAAACACATTACCTGTGTGCGTGTGTTTCGCCTAAGCACACCTGAGCGGTACTTGAGGATGTCGTACGCCTCCACCTCCACCGCTTCGACAGTGCTGTTGAATTCACGGAGGTGGGCCGCAGGAAGCAGCATCCTGCAGTGAAACAATGAACTCTGTTTACTGTGCAATAGTAATTAGGCCTCAGAGTGTATTGTACGAGCTAAATAGTATACTTCAGACTAGTTCGTCTGATGACTGACCTGACCTCCCTGAGCAGCAGCAGTTTTTCAGGCCTGTCCAGCACGGCCAGCAGGTGGCGTATTAACGACTCCAGGCACCTTTCTTCCACATACTGAGCGTGGAGGCACAAGTGACGTTGTCTTCCTTATTTTTCATGCTACCGATAAAAAAATCGCAGAAAGGCTGTCAGCTCCATACCGTCCGACACGCTTTCATGACCGCTTCCGTCTCCTCCTCAGTCAACAGACGCTGGGCCAGCTCCTCCACTGCTCGCAGCGTCTCCTCTGGAAACTCTACAGGTCTTGGACTCAAACCTGGATCAGGCCAGAGGTTTCAAAATTTTCTCTAACTTTTATAACACTGCGTGTCAGTTCAGGTGTGGGGGGGGCTACCTTCTTTGTCAGTGGACAATGACTTGGAGCGCCCCCTAGAGCCGTCCCTCTTGCGTGCGCCCCCAAACAGCAAGTTGACCAATGTCTTGGAGCGTTGCAGTGCACTCTTCTCCCCGGAGGTTTTTCCTCCTTTCTGCTTCTTGGCTTTCTTTTGGCTGATCTCTACGTGGGGAGGTGCACGCATTTTTGTCAACGTGCGCACACCCAAAAAAAAGATAGTCTTTTGTGCGAGACACACCTGCTATAGTGACCTGGCTCTGCGAGCGGCTGATGGGTCGGCTGGGTCTGCTGAGGGCCAGCAGCACCGCCGTCTTGCGGGACTCCTTCTTGAGACCGCCCTCATCTCTGTCCTCCTCCTGACGGATGGCGGTGTCCCGCAGCAGTGTGGTGGCCCCTAGGCTGCGCGTCGTGTCTGTCTGGATGGCGGCCTCGCTGCGCTCCAACTCAAATCTACCACGTTAAAAAAACAAGCGCTATCGTGAGACATGAATGAGAAGCCCAAAAAAAAGGCGCCTCCACCCCACCTCTGGTCCTCGGTGGAGATGCACACATCCACCATGTCGGAGACAAATGGCAGACTGGGCGGGAACATGACTTGGGACAGGCCGCTCAGGGAACTGACCGGCGTCTCTGAGGACAGTGAGGATGCTGATGAATTGGACTCTGAGCCCAGCGAAGAAGATTTCTGACCCCTGTTAGCCACTGTGAGAGAAATCAACTCGAGTGAGGATCCAATTCTCGGTCTGGCCTGCTTTTGAGCCAATAGAGTGACACTGTAAGATACAAGTCAACCCGCACCAATCAGTGTTCATATTTCACAAGCATGGTGAACTGAATTGAGACCAAGAAAAGACATTTTAAACTTGAATGAATCGTTCGAAAGTTTTTTGTTTGTGTTTGCTTGTTTGTATTAACATGAAAAATGTCTAAAAGTCGAATTATAAAATAGAAATAGTCTATGAGGACAACACGGGCATACATACACTTGTTGAGCCATCGGTACTCTGCCACCATCTCCTTGTAAGCAGGATAGCGGCCAGCCTCCTGGTGCGGGGGGGGGAAATATGTAAATGAATCAGATTAAACTTTGATGGCATTTTGACTATATTTAATCAGGAGGAGCACATGAGGCAAGACGTCGCACTTTCGTCTGCAACCGATCCTCACTGTCTGTTGAATAATGCACACCGCTCCCGGGTATTTTCTTCAACACAGCGAAACCTAAGCTTGGGTAAGTGAGGAGGAATATTAAGACTGTGTGCCAGCTGTCTCACTCTCTCTCACAGACACACACACACACACACACACAGTAGCTTTAATTTATGCCTCAGCTACAGTTGATGATTTTGAGTTCCGGGCTTGAGAACAAATTAAACTCCTGTCTCGAGGTAGCAATACACAACTTTTTGTAAAAGCAAAATACACATAAGTCTTTAACAACTAACATGCCTGCTTTTTTTTGTCATCTTTAAGAAAGCAGATTTTTTTTTTTTTTTTCAAACAGCTCTCCTCTTCAACTTCGTTAGATTGTGCAGCCGTACCTGAACGAAGCGTCGCCTCAGTTTTGCCCTCACCTTAATGGTCAGCATGACGTGCGTGTGGCTCTTCAGAACCTCCACGGCGTTGCTGTGGCTAATGTCCTCGAAGCTCACACCATTGGCGGCAAGGATCTGGTCACCCATCTTGATCCCGTTCTGCTCGGCCAGGCCACCGGGGTCCAGCCTGAGACATCAGGAGTCAGCGGTATGTGAAGAAGGGATGTGTTTGTAGAAAGTTTTGAGAAGGGTACCTACTTGGAGACATAAATCCCCAAACCAAACTCCTTCCCGCCACGGATGTTGAAACCCAGGCAGTAGTCGTCGGAGGTGGTGTACATGTGGACGATCCTGCGAAGGGCGCTACCCGCGCTGGCATCTGATGGCGTCCGTCCGCTTTCCTCCACCACCATGCGCCTGTGTATCAGGTCCACCCTGGAAAAGCACCACAGGATCGATTTTCATCATCAAAACGCCAGCAAATGGTGCTGTTTCCTCACAAGCAGACTCTGTACGTTCGCCGAATCTAAAAAGTCTACACACCCCTGTTCAAAGGCCAGGTTTTCATGGTATACAAATTGAATGATTAAGACTAATGGTGGAAATGTTTTTATTTAAAATTTAAAAATATATATCATATGGAGACTTTTTTAATCATAAATCCAGTCGCGAAGTAATTCTCCCTAGCTCGTTACTCACCAGGTGGTCTTCTCTTTAGAGTAGCGTATCCCGGGCACTTTGCCCACACGCCTCACCACCATCCTAAGCCTGTTGTTGCCCGTCAGGACCTTTACGGCGCTGCTCATGGTGATGCTTTCCAGGCTGACGCCGTTCACTTCCACCAGCTTGTCACCCACCAGCAGGCCGGCCTCCTCTGTGCACAACGACAAGAAACACTCTTGGGTCAAAACTCCTTGCCCCGCCCCGCCAAGGTTACCTGAAGACGTCGTGGCATCCCACCTGCCGTGCTGGCGTCCTCCACCTTGCTGACAAAGATGCTCAGGCCGTGCTCGCAGCCGCCACGCACGCTGAAGCCCAGTTTGCCGTCCTTGCTTTTGTCCACCGTGATGGTGTGAAGGTCCTCGCTGTCATCGCCGCCTGATAAAGTACAGTCCAACGGACGCATACATGTCAACAGTGACGGCCATTTTGTCTTCAGTTGAATAGAATACATAATTTTTCAAACATTGATCAACAACAGCATTGCCCTCTTTGAAAACTGTTGATATTTTCTCTCTTACCGTCCACCGGCGAGTTGATGAGGATGACGCGGCCCATGGGTGAGGAAGATCGGATTCCTCGGCGGCGCCGCTGCTGCTCCTTCTTGCGTACAATGTTGCGTGCGGCCGAGTGCGGCTTCCCCTGTGTGCCGGGGGCCTTCTCTCTGCACGAGGGGTCTGACGAATGAGCCATGGACCCTCCCGGTGCCGTCCCCGTTCAGATGTGTCTGCAGTGGCACAGAGCCAGAAGAAAAGCCGCCATACTGGATCAAGACCATATTTGTTGCACAGTGTTCTAACATCGACACAACTACATTGGTGGTTACAGAAGGTCAGTACTTACGTTTGTGACATAGCAGCTGACGTTTTGGTTTCCTGCAGTCACATGTCCGGCTATTCTTTCCCATGATTCATCTCTCAGCTTCCTGGCGAATACCAAATCAAGTAGGAATACTATTACTGTATTTGGAGACATGGGTTTTAATTTTTACTCAAGTTTTTATAACTGTTGGTACTTTACTGCTTCTTACTTATAGGCAAAAAAATAGGCATCTTTTTTTTCCAATCAAGAGTTCAGTGTATGTTTTTTTTCTTGAGACTTTACTTAAGTACAGGTATTGAATAAGGACTTTTTTACCAGCTTTTTTAAACACATCTGTAATTTTATCTAAGCACATGGTTGTGAGTACTTTTGGCGTTTTACTGCAGTACTCTAAAGTGTGGGATTATCTTCTATCTGGGAGGTCAGGAGATCACGTGATGCGCTGCTATGGTTACATACTACTAACTTAAAACTCCCGTGACGTCATACCAGGGCTTCCCCAGAACCGTGGACAGCGACAACGTCAAGCCTCAGCGATGCCGTGAAATACGTACCAAAAACTACACACACACAAATGCGTCGATCGTAACTTCATACCCGCTCGAACCACTTCGCCGATATCCAGACAGAGTTTTAATACAGAAATGCCATTAAAATAAAAACTTACCGAGCATTATTCAAACGAAGGCATCAAGCTCGCTTTTCCATCAGTTCTTGTGAAAAGCGTAGGAACAATCGTGCAAATATTCTTGCTACACTCAAAGTATTCTTGTTGTACCTTGTTTTAGTTGAAATTATCCAGACTAATTCAAGTCGTTCGGCCCGTGGGGATCCATTTTGAGCAAAGGCTGGTCTGTCGAACCTGGACGGATTCTACAAAAGGCCTGCCCCTGCTGCACGCTGATTGGTTGGACGAGACAGGCCGGAGAGAATCTGATTGGACGGTACGGTAAACTAAACACACGCAGTCACTTCATTCCACTGAATACACTATCCAAGTTTAATTACCCAAAGTACAAGAGCTTTATAATGATGCTTAGTTTATATATTGTTTTATACAATTAAACTTTCATGAAGCTAAAACCCTATTTCGGTATAAATTCGAGTAGACGACCACTAGGACCCCCCACGACTCACGAAAATCCGCCTATAATTGACACCCAGTGAAATGCGTTGTAAATAATAAAACGCCTCCAAAAATCTCTACAAAAAAAACACGGGAGAAAAATCCCCCCAAAGGTCAACCTCCCCCACTTATAACAAATGTAAATATTTTCACAAAATTAAAATATATAAATACTGTATGTAGTGCTGAAGAGCACGTGTGCAGGGCAAACTTTTTAGTGAAGCATACAATTAGGAATATTTCTTTTGAATAATAAGTTTTGCATGATATAGTATGTTTGAAATTTACTGTGATCATACACAAAGGCTTACCGGAGCAGTTAAAATGAATTAAGATGGATTGCAATTACAGAAATTGGTTTAGTGACAATTAATAAGCTTTAAACAGATGTTTTCAGTTCTGACTTAAAATAAGATAAATAAACAATGTGAAGTGTCCAAAGTCAAAAAGCTGATCGGCTGAATGCTCTGCTCCCTGTTATCATTAGATTGGCAGATCGAACAGACAAGTGCAATGATGAGGAGGATCTGAGAAGGCTGTAATATGGTTTTGGTACAATATGAACAACAGCAAGCTCTTGAGTGCCATGACATATTTTATTGGGTAATAAAAGGAAGCCCATTCTTTAAAACATCAAGTCTGTTTGCTCCGTAGAGTTTGATAACAGACCATCATGAACAGACTGGGAGGCTTTCACTACACAAGTCAACTATGCATGCAACTTGGGTTACTCTGTGACATTATTCTCCATGGGCACAAGCTCCTGTGGTATTCTCCCGACTGCTTGGATCACATCTTCAATGTTGACCTTATCGCCAAACTCAATTTCTCGGTGTTCCAACAGAATTCCCTGGAGAAAAAAAAAAAAAGAATCATGGGTAGTTCCTGACTTAATTACACACGGACTGAATTGTGTCAGTTCTACCTGCTGCTCACGCCCGAGAACAAAAACACCACCCAGCACAAAGCCCTCTCCCAAGACATTTCCCTTGAAGCCCTTTCCGAAGGCCCTGAGACCGTTCATCCACACCCCCGCACGAAGAAACGCCAAGAGGCCCAATCGTCGCTCGCGAGGCCCGAAGAAGCGCTTCTGCGGTGAACAGAAACTCGGTGTGAGAAAACATCCTCCCCCTCACGAGGGAACACAAGACAAACCACAGAGAAGGACTTGAGAGTTTCTTTCAAAAAGACCCTTTCATCCAAGAAGATCTCCCCGTTGAAGTACGACCGGAAGTTCTGAACCTCGTTGCCGATGTTCTCCTTGACCACGGCGTACATGGGTACCCCGAGCTGGTCCAGCTGGGGCTTCAGAGAGGACAGCTCTGCAGCCTCCTGGATGACGGTGTGACCTGCTCATTTAGTTAACGCTCCCATCATGCTAAGTGCCCTTAAATTGCGTCACAACGTGTTACCTCTCTGCACAGAAATCATCCTGGCCTCCGCACCGCCATAATGACGGCACCTCTTTGCTCCCACAGAGACTTGGCCTTAAACTTTGTCTTCTCTGAAAATGAAGGGAAGAGAAAGATTAGTTAAAGCAGGGGGTGAAGACATGACTGTAAAAGAGGTCACAACCGAAGGAAAGTGAAGGTGGAAGGCGATAGAATCTCAAAGGAGATGTAAATGGAGGGCAACGTGGTGAAGTAGAAAATGTGTGGAGAAAGTGCATATGGGAAGGATGTCAGGGTTGACATTTTTGAAAGAGGGTGAAAGGGCATAGTCAAGAAAGTAGGTGAATCAACTAAGGCAAGGGTGGGTAAGTGTAAGTAAAATGGTAGGAGTAAAAGTACAACCTGATGGAAGTGGGTGAAGGAGTCACATAAAGGATTACAAGTGAAGGAAGGAGGTGAAGGGTTAGCAAGCAGCAACAGTGCAAGCTCCACAAAGGCTTTTTTTTTAACACGCTCACCCGCAGTCAAAGTCGTGAGCTCAGCTTCTTCGAGATGCTGGATGCTAGCCTTCAGCGGCGCCGTGAGGAACATATCCGTCACCAAATTGAGAACTCGGGCCACTAGGCCACCCGCGGCCGCTGCGGCTTGAATCAGGAGAGCCATTCCGCTGCACCTCGGACTCCCCGACTTGTTCCTCTTGCGCTCCCTTTACCTCGTCTGACGTCCACACTCGTCCGCCGCGTCCTTGCTGACGCCGCGCGCGTGTAACCGCGACGCCCTCGGGTGCGCGCACGTCACAAGTTTTGTTTTGATCGAACCCAGCCGTGACAGGTCTCTGACGTCATAAAGCGGCCATTGTGCAAAGGCACCTCCGTTCTCCCCCCTTTTCTGTTTCAGAAGTTACCAGCGTCCACTGGAGTAGTGCAAAAAAAAAAATCAGCATTTTGGTCCGTTGCTTGTCGACTATGTAGTCTCCATTTAAACCTTTTTGCCCTCTTCAAATTTGTTCAAACTGCTCTTATTAGATTCAAACGTTTTCCCATCGTAAAAAAACGTAGTTGTGTTTGATAATAGTTTGAGCAAGTCCGAAGTTAAGTGATTTCAGTTGTGTTTGATAATAGTTTGAGCAAGTCCGAAGTGATTTATGAAAAAAAGGTGTTTTATTCGTTCATATTTTTGGCCTCAAAGGTGGTTGAACGTAAACAGTAAATTGGCACACTTTGTTCTTACAAGCACATCATGTTTATTTGAATTACTGCATATTGAGGACATCTTGATTGAGGCACACATGCAATGATGAACGTAGGATATTCAAACATAAAGGCTCATCAGTGGACCACCAAGCAGCGATGTGGTCATTTTCCATCTTGTTCTGTTCCCTGCAAAGCCACATAAATGTTAAATCACCATTCAAGGGATGAATGTCACAAATGATCACAAATATTTAGTATAATACATTTACTATAAAAAAATACATCCCTAACATTCATGAGGAACACACACATAGATTTGATGATTTTTATTATTTTCATTTTTCTACAGGTACTGAGTTGACCTGTGGTGTTACCATAATGCGTAACAATAAAGACGGCTGACCCAGGCAGGCTCACAAACCTCTTCCTCGTCTTGAATAACAGGACCTGGACTTGATTCGTGTATCTCCTCTTCAGTTTTTGCCAACTGCTTTTCAACCGGCAGCACTTGGTCGGACTCGCCCCGGGACGACTCGGGTTGCACAGACTCTGCCTTAGAGGACTCAGCCTGTGCAGATCTAGGCTGGGAGGTCTCGGACTGAACGTTTGGCATCGACTCCTCCTCCTGTTCAGACTCGTCTGAGTTCTCACCTTGCGTTGGTTCAACCTGGGATGCCTCAGCCTGCACAGGCTCCTCAAGCATAGACTCCTCCTGCACAGATTCGACCTTGGCAGACTCATCTTGTGTGGCTTTGAGGTGAAAGGCCTCACTTTGAGAGGAGTCAGTCTGTGTGGACTCCAAAAGTGCAGCCTGGACCTGTGTAGACTCCATCATGAATGATTCCACCGGTGCAGATGCAGAGTGTGTGGATCCAATGTGAGCGAGCTCATCTTGAGTGGACTCGGACATGGCGGTCTCCGCCATTGGAGATTGAACCTGTGCAGACTGGGACAAGGAGGTCTCATTTTGTGCAAATTCGATGTGGGAGGCCTTGGCCTGGTAGGTCTCGGCCTGCGTAGACTCCACCAGTGTGGATTCCGCCTGCACAGACTCAGCCTGGGAGGAGGACTCCTGCCCAGACTCAGAAATGGAGGTGTTGGGCTGAGCAGACTTCATCGGAATGGACTCTGCCTGCCCAGATTGCTCCTGGGAGGTCTGAAGTTGTGTGAATTCAACCTGGTCAGCCTCAGCATGAAAGGCCTCGGGCTGTGTGGACTCCACCAGTGTGGACTGCGCTTGTGCAGATTCAACCTGGGAGGTCTCAGCTTGTGCTGAGTCTAAGTGGGGGACCTCAACTTCAGAGGATTCAGCCTTCATAGACTTGGCCTGCACAGACTCCTCTAGCGTGGACCCCAACTGCACATAGTCTGCCTGGGAGCTCTCAACATGTGCGGAATCCACACGGGAGGCCTCAGCCAGAGAGGACTTGGCCAGCATGGCCGGGACATTGGAGCCGTCACCTTGAGAGGACTCTGCCTGTTTGGTCTCACCCTGCATGGGTTCGTCAGACTCTGCCTGGGTGGTGGTATCAAGCTGCGAGGACTCCACCAGCTCAGCTTTGGACTCCATCTGTGAAGACTCTGCACGGGAGGTCCCAGTTGGTGTGGTTTCAACCTGGGAGGCCTCAGGTGGAGAGGACTCCTCCAATGTCGACTCAGTCTGGGAGGACTCGGCGTGCTCATGCTTCTGGTGAAAGGGTGTCAGGAGAATTGTGTGAGTTAAGACATAAGCACCAAAAAAAACACTTGGCCTAACTTCTCCCATGTGGGTTTCTTCCTCTCAACCTGCACCATGGTTCCGATTCTGTTCCCAGCTGGACTCTCCACTCAACTGAATAAGACTGCTCTTAAAGAGATGACAATTCCTTCACCTTCTCTGTGTGTTGGCTTTCAGGTTGAAGAAGGCTCGTTTGGCCTGGTAGCTCCCAATGTTGGTCCACCTGGCTGGAATTGGCGCCTTCAGTCTGGACCGGCTCAGCGGTTGCAGCTGGACCGAACTTCTGTGGGTCATTCGGGAGAGAACGCGACCACTTGGTAATGTCTTGCCCCACGCACACAACTAACTTCGACCCTGTGGTCCTAAGCCAACAGACTGGACACATTGCATGCACATGCAGCAGGACCACCACACCAAAAAAGCCATCATAGAGACACCGCCACCACCACCAGACATGCTTTCGTGGTTTTGTTTTTTTTTTCACCTCCTGCTCATTCTCCAGAGGTCCACTTTGGTGCTGGTCAGTGGCCTGTTGGGTTTCTGGCTCAGTGGGGTCCCTCACAGTCTGATTTGTAGTTGCGACTGTGGCTCCCACACAATCGTCTCGTCCTGCAGGCTCCGTTTCAGAGAGCTGTTAAGGTGCTGAGTGTCAAATACCCTTCAGACTGACAGCAATCTTTCTAATTCTCTGCCTTCACCTTTCCTGCTCTTCACCTCACTTTCCTCCCAACTGTTGGCTGAACTCACTGCCTTCTACCTGACGACTGACCTCTGGGGCGCGACCACACAAAACGGCAAAGCACAAAAATAAAACAAAAGGCAAGTACTTTTCCAGCCGCCTCGTTCGGAGCTTCCTTCTCTCTGGCTTTGGCCCGTTCCTTCTCCACGAGTGCCAACCGGGCCTGTTTCTGTAAAAATCAGGATTCCTGGCATCAGAATTCCGGCGACTACAGATCAAACACAGAGCTGGTAAATCCAGGTTCAGAAAGTTTTGGTGAGTGGTATTTTAGAATAAAAAAATCTACCGTTTCGGTTGCACGGCATATTGGACAACAGCGTCATCTACTGGCAAAACAAACAGTAGCATTTTATTACCATCGTTATTATTTACCTTTGCCTCATATTCAACGTTGGAGTTGTATTTATACAGCCAGTGAGCCAAAAACTGTATGGGGTCCATGGGACGCTGCTCTACCACTTCAGCAAGGCCCTCTGCCAGGCATGAACCCAGATGCGTCTTGACAAACTCGGAATCCATGTTTTGACTCTGTGCGGGTAGAGGAATTGCACTTGTAATTTGTGCGGGTAGAGGAATTGCACTTGTAATTTACGATGACACTGACACAAACGTCTTTCCTGCCCCTGCTTAATCTATAATATGACGTCATTACAGAGGAACGGTACTTGTTTCTTGGCACGTAATATATATTGATTATTTCAGGAAACAGGTAAAAAAAAACGTGTGGACATGTAGTTAATGAAACAAAAAGTTATTCAATGTCAAGAGGTCAGTTGTTCGTCATCGGACCAAAAAAGAAAGTAAACTTTGATAGCAGGCTCGTGTAACTATGCCACCATTGGTTTGTTTACGGTAACTCTGTGAATTCGGTCGTAGCGATATATTAAAACACAAAAAAAATTACCCCACAAGCATATTTTATACTGAAAACAACTTGCTACGCTGTATACTGTCCACGCGTAGGAAATTCGTTGAAGTATTAAAATGTAAAGAAGGAAAACTATAAAACAAACCAGCTGCCAAATACGACTGCACTTCCGGGAGTGTTTGTTTGTGTTTCTATGGTAACGGTGTTCCTTTCTTAATAGTCCGCGGAATAGCCGTGAAGGTTCAGACTCACCAGAATTAATCCAATTATTCTTATTATTAATATTATTATTAGTATTATAATATATAATTATTCTTCTTCTTATTAGCAGTAATAAGTAGTAGAAGAACTGTAGAATGTAATTTAATTATGTCGTAAAATATTTTAAAGATTTACTATTTTATTTTAAAAAAACAAAAAAAAAACATGTTTTGAATTCCAACCTTCCGGGCTCAATTAAGAGTCAAATTACTTGGCCCTCTTAATTTACATGCATTTTCATTTGACTTTGCCACTAGGAAATTGGGTCCAACATGGACGCCTCGAGTAAGATGTGAACGA